GGGAGCAAGGCGGAAATTGAGGGCATGGGGAAATTATCTTTACATTGATTGGCTGTCGTAGGCGGAAGTGTGTCCGAGATCTCAAGCCTTCCTTGCTGGCCGACTAGACAACCACATTGTAGCCTTTCAGGTAAAATTTCCGCACAACCCCGTACTACATTATACATCATTATACATTCAGTTCTTGGATAGAGAAAACAATGACAACAACAATACATTGCCATTGGGAAAAGAGGTAATTTAGTGTTAACAACTGAGTTGAAAACGTAAATTAGCCACCGTAAAGGGTAAAAAAGCTGACGTTTCGAGCGTTGGCCCTTCGTCTGAGAGATTGGATCCAATTGCTCTGACGAAGGGCTAACGCTCGAAACGTCAGCTTTTTTACCCTTTACGGTGGCTAATTTACGTTTTCAACTCAGTTGTTAACACCTGAAATTACCTGCTATACTCTCCCACCGACGCAGCACCACAGTTTCTTTAGAAACTTACTCCTTTATTCAACGGGGAAAACAGATTTGTTTTTCAATAGTATGGGGCTGTGCGAAAATTTTATCGCCTTTCATTCTTCAACGCTTCAGAAACTGAAAGTCGTTCTCTAGCACTTCCCTTACAGACCTGATAGCGCTACATCCGGTCTGAATCATTCGACAAAAGAATTTCTATCAGTTCCGTCAGGAAATATTTACAGTTTCAGAGTTTCAGAAAGATACGGGTTTATTATAGCCCTTGGGTAAGGGGGTTTGTTTCTAAAACGAAATTTGCAGCTGCGAAGGATTTTTAGTGAAATTTGGCAGAACTTAAAATTTATGCATATATAATATTTACAGTACAATGCTGCGAGACATATCAAACGCTTTGTAAGACACCTTCAAACATTTGTGTTAGTGGAGTAGACTTTTTTTCTTAACTCTGAAACTACCATTAAGAAAAAGTCCTATTGTCTTAGAGAATTTTGAAGAATACCAGTAACTTCGCCCAAATGAAATACTGACACGTTCCACACGGAAAGCGGCACATCAAAGCACCCACTTTCCCTGTTAGTATGCAAAACTGCACTGAAAGAAAGGTTAAAGGTTTAATTTCTGGTTTCCGATCTGCTTGGTTACACCGAATTGTCAACAATCGGTATCAATTCGTGCTGCAGTGGGCGATCGTTACGGTTATTGAAATATTTCCTTGTTTACCCTCGAATCGCTGACGAATTCCAAATTTTCGCGGTTTAATTCGTAAGAAACTTGTTTTTCATTTGAACTTGTACTGTATAAACAAAGAAAAAAAGGGGAAAGAGAACTGGTTTTTCAACGAGAATTAATTTCGCTTCTGAGAAGTTATTTATGGATCGATTTTTCGCGGCTGTGTGTACGTGAGGTACTGCACGAGGGGGTTACGTCATTGACATTTGACCATAGCAACAGGGAGATAAAATTTCAGAGAAAGCATTTGTTCTAAATTTATCAGCCAATCAGATGGAAGCATTTTGTATTCCTTTCTAACCAATAAAGGAAACAGACTTTACGCTAACCATCTAAAGCAGGGCTTAAGCGACAGAGTCGTAGTTCGGACTACTCCTATTGAATCGACGTTATTTATCTCGCAAACCCTTTTAAGATGGCACCCGCTGAAGTCAATCATACACCGAACCTCTCCACAAACAGAAGAATGAAAACTCAAGACGAAAAACACGCTCACGATCTTGCCTGCGACTATATTTACTTCCACAAATTGGGAATGGAGTCGCACAAAGCTAACACAAGAGTTGCTGCAATTTTGCGGAGAGTTGGTGGAGAAGTGGAGAGAAGGCATGAAGTTTTATTGAAAAATATGTGCGAAAGGCTACATCTTAGAACAGCTAATGTTGAAGACACTTTTAGAGGCGTCGCGGAGGAAATTTTCAGCACAGAAATCAATTGGGGACGTATTGTAGTTTTGTACTGCTTTGCCGCTGAAGTTGCTGTATTTTGCAGCCAAAACGACATTAATATCATCGACGATATTGTTAGATGGCTTGCTGAATATGTCAGCGAGAGAAAACTCAATGAATGGATCAGGAAATCTGGAGGATGGGTTAGTGAAAAGCTTTTAATATATGAGTCTTATTCGCGTAAATTTACGTTTATGCTAAACCTTGTTCGTTGTCACATCAATCGATTCTCGACACGATGAAAAAAAAGTAACAAGTAATTTTTCGGTTTCCTCCTTTTTCCCACCCTGTATAAACTCAAAATGGTTAACGGGAAGTTTTGCTATAGTGAAACGGTAAGAAAATTTTGGTAAATTTCGGTTTTTTCCCACGGGAAGTTTCAATGGAAGCCCAAAGTGACTGGAAATGTTTGAATTATTTATAAAGGGCAGCTGGTTCTGGAAACCCTTAGTGATAGAGTCATCTTAGGTTTAAAATCATTCGAGGAATGTTTGCAGGAAATATTTTCAGAAAAAGGCGATTATTTCAGGGTTTTGAGACTATCATGCTCTCTTTTGTAAATCCTCATTCAACACGAAACTAAGTTACGTGCAATTATTTCGAGTTAGTGAAAGTTTTGAATATTTATATTCCCTACGCCTTTTTACCGCAACTTCGTCGTAAGATTTTGTCGCTGATAAGCCGCACTGAATGGCAAAAGATTATTGATAGCGGCCCGATCGAAATATAAAAGTTCCCTTTCTTGCCAGAAACGATGGAACCACTTTTTTGGTCTTATATCACGCGATGATCGCTGCTTCCGTTGTTCGTCACGTTGACTTTGCCCAGTCACGTTGATGGCCTTTGTTCTGTAGTTCAGATCTCTTACGAAGTACCTAGATTAAGTACTGAAAGCCAAAATAGACAGAAAAACAGCGATTCAGTATTTTTTCACTAGACTTTGAAGTATTAAAACCGTTTATTTTTTTCAGCGGGGTGTAACCATTCTTCACATACTTTTTTCAAGGGGCTTTTGTATTGAGCTTGTGAACAATGTAAATGTTTTCCGAGAATTAGCGGACGTGCTCTTTGAATTATTCCCAAGAGGAAAAAACAGAAATTCCTAAACAGTTTTGGATTAGATGCAGCTTTTCATAAGCTTGATCTTCTGTGGTTGATAATTATATTTCTTTTTCTGCTTCCTTATACTTCCAAACTCATGAAAAAGTGGCAAAAAATCCACTGCTTTGAGGGACTCTGTTCTTATTTACTTACAGTCAAAGCACATTATAGGGCAAAATTTTTCCTTTTGAAACCTGTCTAATCCTGTCTTTAGCAAATTCTATAGCTTTTTTTTATTTTTAGCCATAAAGTCCATCATTGTTTGCTAACAAGCTTTTAACATTTTTTTCATATCAATAGGATGCATTTTGTGAGCAGTTTAAAGATGTCAAAGCAGAGAGTGAGAAATTTTGGTGGAACAGTATTCTTTACACAACGCTGGGTCTTGGAACCCTGGCTGCAATGTTGTATGTGAAGAGCTAGACTCAGCTGTGATGTAATGTTCAAAACAACAGTTATGCCTCATTCCAGGTCAGGATATCTATGGTACCAATATGCATGGGCTTGCGATTTGCTCCCTGAAAAGCAGAGGTGACTTAGAGGCTGCAAGAACCATAGTTGGTCTACTTAGGATTGTCAAATATCACAACAGACAGAAACATGCTAGACAAGATTACGACCATGTTAGTAATATATGTTTGAACTGGTTCCTCTGCAGTGGAACCGTGGGAGTCAGAAAGAAACAGAGAACATTGAATTAAACCAAAAACATCGACAAAGGGCTTGATCTAATCAGCCTGCAAGAAAAATGTTGTGTGGACGTGTATTTTAGATCAAAGATTTTTTCAGAAACAATTTCTATATTTTACCTAGCTCCAGTTATGGTTAGTTTTTTTTTAATAATTCTAGTTATATCAATTTGGGTGATTATGAACACTTAACAATACTTAGCAATATCTTGATCTAGTTAGAGGAGTTGATAAACAATATTTATGATATGACCCTAATTTCATTTTTTCTAATTTGAAGTTAATGATTTTAACTTTTATCTTACAGATAAAATTAAAGTATCCATGTTAATGGAGAATTTTATTGAATTAAATATGTTGATCTTTGTTTAAGAAACAGCCTTAGTGTTTGCTCATACAAAATTTTGGCTTTTTGCCTGTGGAATTGTTTTCCAACTTGGATAAAGTTTGTTTAAGGTGGCTTTTTGCGTTAAAATATATTCTCCGAATGTGTTCCACTGGCAGTTTAATGAGAACCAGGGGGAAAACTTATTTTGAAGGGATGAAAGTGTCTTTAGAAAATGATAAGAAAGCATGATAAGGTTACAAATTTGTTTCAAGGAGTCTAAGAAAGGGCTAAACAAGAATAGACCTGAAATCATTGCAGAATGAGAGGAGATGAATGATCTCTCAAGGCCATTGTTTGAACTGATAAACGGATGATTTCATGTTATGTAACATGCGGGCATTTTGTCAGTACCTCCTCTTGCCAAATTTCTCAGATTTTCATCCATTTAAGGTCATTTTTTATTTCCAATGCATTACTTCATTTGCATAAGAACAATAGCCCTATATCACTGCCTTATACAGTTTTTCCGGAAACTATCTGTTGCTGGAGGGGATGTATATGGCAGATTTGAGAGTGGATAGAGGAATTGTAATAAGCTTTAATTTTACGGCGTCCTCGTAAAGGAATTTAAGAACTGTAAAAGTGTGCGGCGCAATTGGAGGCCTTGCAAACAAATCCCGTAGAACAGGCGTGACCTTTTTGCATTTTTTTAACGATCGGAGACGAGGAAAGCACAAGAGAATGATCTTCTTGGTCTCCTGAAAAACGCCCACATTCAAGTTTGGTCTACAAGCAGTTGTCACGATGCACGAGGGCTACAACCGGAAGTGTCACCTTGAACCGCGGGTTTTCTATGGTCGTGAAAATTGTTTACAACGTTAGGGATGTTTGGATAGCCTACTTAAGCGTCTCATGCGGAGGGAAGGTGAAAAATAACTCTCTCTTCCACCAAAATAAGCTGTTTTAGCAACGAAAACTGTGTTTACACGTGGAGAGCTCGTGAAATTTCACTGTCACGTTTAATTTTAACCTGCGTGGTATCACGGAGATCACGTGCGTATTAAACTCGATACGGACACTTGAAACTTTGTTCGTTGAGCTTGCGAGCTTGCCGTCCAACTGAACTTTGGTTGTTTACATAATTGAAACATTGCAACGGTGGAAATCCTGTGCATACGGCTGATTTCTCATCTAAGTTAGGAACGATGATTTAACACGCAAAAATCGCCTACCAGCCTGCACCCTCCGTGACCTTCTCTACTGTCGTAGTTGAATCCTGCACGTAATTGTTTTTGTATCTTATTACAGGGAACTTCTTGCAACACTCAAATGAAACCATTTTGATTGTTTTTAGTTCGCCTCACTCCACTAACTTCCTCTCAAATTTTATTTTCCAGCCGAGTCGATCGTGATCTTTGCAAGCACAATATTCTCGACAAGGGACGCTGATTGAGCTGTATCACTCAAAGTAATAAATTATTTGGTCCTGTGGGGATTACAAAACGACCCCCTGACCAAAATATTTCTCCCTCATGCGGCATTTATACACAGGGGCACTCATATGGGTCAAGCAAATGGATGAGTCAAGACGTTATCTGCTATTAAACCTTTTAACTCCCAGATCTTTTAAGTAATTCACCTCACTGTCGCCATACCAATTCTTGTGATGTTAGTTTGGAAAATTTGGTATTGGATCAACCAATAATTCCTTAACAGATATTTTTCTTTCCTCTGATCACTTGAATTCATGATATTGTATTGACATTGTGAGGGGGAATTCTGTCTTGGTCACTCATGGGAATTAACGGTTAAAATATTTACTGAAGGTTTGGTAGAAAACAGTTAGCAGCTAGACTTTGACACCAGGGTCAGAACTAAAAGGTTTCAGCATGCTAGGAACAGGGAAATGTCTTGCACAAATAGAACGTGATGCGCTAACTTATCACATGACTTACTTTCAACGCGATTCAGCGGAACTTGTTCAAAACACGTCACCTCCAATGTTCAACTATGTGGTTCATTCAATCTAAATCTCTTTTTACTCGTGATATATAAATTATTTGTAAACGATGCTTTTGCTCGTGATTCTCTTGTTTTTTTAGAAATAAAAGACCCTAAAACTGTCAACAGACATTTTCGATTTGGGAACATGGTTACCCTTAGACTTCCCAGACGTCCTCGAGCATTTTCCGAAGATTACCGAACGAATATTTTTATGGTTCGATCACCCTTAGAATGATGATCGAGCATGCTCAACGATCTTGATAAAACCTGATAAAGTAAAGTGATTCTAAAATTCCTGATTCTTTTTCAAAACACGTCATAACATGGGTGCACCAGGAAAATGCCTTTTTTTTTCCCGCCGGAAATGACCACTGATTGTTCATTCTCCCCTTTACCTGTTAAACGTTTCCTTATGAATTAGTTACGGGAAGGTGGTGTTAGATCAAGATGACAACCTTTATCTGATGAGAGTCTGATAGATTTGAGTAATTTCATTGCACACCTGTTAACTGGATGATGTATGGGAGAAGTTACACGTTAATCACCTCTGGGAGTTAAAGGGGTCAGGGTTGCACCGTAGTTGTAACGTTGTTGGAAGGCCGGGCGACGGATTACAGATAAACGAAAACGGCGGAAAAAACTCAATACGTGAACACAACCTTTTATCAACTAAACACGCTTTCATCCGGATTACACTCTTTGTGTCAGCGGTAAATAATTCATGTAAAACAAACGAAATATCGTCACAGTAGTGTTCAATATAGATTTTCCTCTGTTACTAAAAGAGATTAGCTTCGCCTACCCACGGAAGGACAAATTCGAGCGAAAAAATGAAAACGCATCCTATGGGCCAAAGTTTGGGCAAAGGTTACGAAAGTGTTTAAAGCTGGTGTTTTGTTGGTATCTATTATCTCTCCATCGAAAACTTATCCGTCTATCACAGCATGCGAATTTTAAGTCAGAACTACGAACGAGTTCAAGATTACCCTGTAGGAACATTCAAGAAATTGTTGGGTATTAAAAATGTCACTTTCCTTTGACAGTTTTAATGAACGAATCCGTTCCTAGATTCCTAGGCAGATGAAAAGTACACAAAGTTATTTACAAATCAAATGCTCGTTCTCCTGGAACACATACGAGAGAAAACTGGTACTTTGCATCCAGTGGTCATGTATTGTTGTCATTTCTATTTCCAGCCGCTTGCATACAGAATTTCAATTGCATCACAAAGAAAAGACGCTGAATATAAATGTAATCGCTTTGTACGTGCAGACATCACGTGAAAATTGCGCAAGATACCTCGCCACAGGCAGCTGACCCCTTGCAGGTTTTTGTTTCCTTTGAAACGGCAACGATTCATCAACCGGGTTTGAGGGGAGGGGGGGAGGTGGATGTATATATATACAGGAAGTCTGTGTATTGATTTTTCCGTTTTACAGTGCTCGATACGTAGAAGTAG